AGATGGATGGTATGTAAATCGACTGTATGCTGGAAATCTGGACTAGTCTGACAAATATCTTCATCAGCGATCGCGAATATCCGAGTCACGAATGAGGAGATCGAGTTCCTAAAGAAGTGGTGCCCGTACTTCAACAACGCTTACTTGGACTACCTGACCAACCTCAAGCTCAAGCCGTCAGAACAGATCGAAATTCACTTCTCGCCGGAGCAGGATACTGGCAGCGACAATGATCTCGGCAACGTCAACTACGTCGTCAAGGGTCTGTGGGTGGAAACGATCTTGTACGAGATCCCACTGCTGGCTCTGACAAGTCAGGCCTACTTCATGTTCACCGATAAGGACTGGGACTATAGCTGTCAGGAGGACAAGGCTTTCCGGAAAGGATGTGCGTTGTTGGAGAATGGTTGCATATTTTCCGAGTTCGGCTCTCGAAGACGGCGCGACTACCACACCCACGACCTAGTCATGCAGGGATTGATGCAGGCTGCGGAGGAAGGAAAGAAGCAAGGATGGAAGGGAGTGTTTACCGGCACGAGTAACGTCCACTTTGCCATGAAGTACGGAGTGGCGCCTGTGGGCACTGTGGCCCATGAATGGTACATGACCATCGCTGCCATCACGGATGACTACGAGAACGCGAACGAGATGGCCCTGCGCTACTGGCTTGGCTGCTTTGGTGAAGGAGTGAGTCCGCAGACCTAGGATTGTCCTGGCCCTAGTAACTAACGCATATCAGGTTCTGGGTGTTGCACTGACCGACACATTCGGCACGCCCGCTTTCCTCGACGCTTTCCGCAAACCCATTCCTGCTTTCACCAGTGCAGGTGTCGGCGCAGTCTCCACGACCGCCTCCGGACCCGGCACCACGACAGAATCAACAGTACAGAGCGAGGCTACTACCAAACCCCCAATTGCGGCTCCTCTGGTCAACGATGCTCAAGGCGAGCATGCCAACAAGACCTACGCCCAGGTCTACACCGGTGTCCGCCAGGACTCTGGCGACCCAACATACTTTGTGAAGATGGTGCGGGACTTTTACGACAGAGAGGGAGTCAAGGACCCTAAGACCATTGTTTTTTCCGACTCATTAGACATCGAGCACTGTCTTGAGTACAAGGTGATCGCCGAAGAAGCCGGCTTCAAGCCTGTCTTCGGTGTCGGAACTTTCTTCACTAGTACGTTATGTCCCAAATACCCGTACTATATAGGGACCTAACCCAATATTTCCACGAAAATATAAACTAACAAGATTCTCACAGACGATTTCACGAACAAATCCGACGGCCAAAAATCCAAGCCGCTCAACATCGTTATCAAGATCGCCACCGCTAACGGCCGCCCGGCCGTCAAGCTGAGCGACAACATGGGCAAGAACACAGGTGACAAGGAGACCGTACAAAGTGTCAAGAAGAAGCTTGGCTACATTGAGCACCAATGGGAAGAGGGCGATGAAAGCAACCGCTGGGCTCGCAAGTAGTGCGAGTCATCGATCAAACATATTTATTGAACTCATATCTATAGTCAGCGAAAGATACAGTCGTCTAGATTCAGTATCAAGGATTTCCAGATCGCATATATGATGGCTAATGTACAGGGCGAGCGACGAGTCTTTATTTTCTTTATTCCAAGTCATGTTAAGCATTGTTTCATAATTAGTTACTATGAGTACTACTGGTACTACCTAGACTATATGAGAAGAGGGTTAGAGAAATGTTCAATGGTTTTCACCAGTGGTAGTAGAAGTAGTAGTAGCATTACTAATAATGTATTAGTGTTCATCATGATTCTTGAGTCTTTACTAGAATAATTGAACTTGAGTAGTATGTGGGACAGAACTCCCTGAGGGCAAGCCGCATGTATATATTTACAGGGCGCGTCTACCCGTACCCACGCACCACATCCGCCACTAAACTAGTTATAAATATTTACACTGAACTCGAAACCACCACACCCCAAATAAGTCTACCTAAAACATCTCCTCATCAGACGGAACAAACCCCAAATCCCTATCCAAATCGCCCGTAATATCCCCAGTCACATGACTCAGTGACCTCTGGCCCGGCGTACTCACAACATTATGAGTCGGCGCAAACGGCGAGAACAAATCATTGTTATTGGTTAATGCATCCTCCGGACCAGGTCCAGTCCATCTGAGGAGCTCACTGGCCCAATCTATGTCGAGGTCTGGGGAGGCGTCGGGGTTGGAAGTAGAGGTGGGGTTGAGATTGGTGGGTGGTTGGGTTTGAGGTGGGAAGTCGGCGGCGAAGGAGTCGAGGTCGAGGTCGAAGTCGAAGGGGAATTGGTCGGAGGGTTGGTCGAAAGTGGGGTTGGGTTGGGTGTGGGTGTTTCGGGGGGAGATGGTGGGGTTGTTGTTGGTGTCGTTGAGGAAGTTGGATATGGGGTCGTCGTCGAAGTCGTTGGGTGGGGTGGGTTCGGCTTGTTTGGGGAGGGGGTTGGTGGGATTGTTTATGTTGTTGGTTGTGGAGGAGGGGTTGCTATTGAAGATGGGAGGTGGGTTGATTGTGCTGCTGTGGCGTTTGGGTGGTGTGCGTTGTTGTAGTTGTTGCTTGGTTGGACTGGCTGAATGATGAGGTCCGGGTTGTTTGTGGTTGTTGGTTGGGTCGGGGTCGTCTCGGGGAGGGGTCCAGTGGTTAGAGGCTCGGTCTTCTGCTGATGCTATGGTGTGTGGGTTTGAGATGGTGCTTTGCTTTCGTGCTTGTTCTGGTGACTGGCCTTGGGGTATAGAACCGGAGTTGTTGGTGTATTGCATGATCCGGAGAAAGGTGTTTGCGCTGTCCGACTGTAGCTTAACTGCCGCTTCGATGTTCGCGACCTCCATGTCTGCTGCAGGGTAGATGTCTCTGAGGCCCTGCAGCACTTGGATGCAGCGCTGAAAGTTGTAGATGCTGGATTCTCGGGTGGCGGGATTGCCAGATGAGGAGTTTGCCAGATGGGCTACAGCGGCTGGTATGATGACGGTCACACCGGATTGGGGGAGAAATCGCGTGAGGTTGAGTTGGTTGAGACCTTGGATAATATGTGTGATACCGACTGCGGCGTCATGCATCTTTGTTTGCGCAGTTTGAATTAACTCCCTGCGTGCTTTGGTCTGATCCTTGTTGGGCGTGAAGGCCCAAGGACGATGCAGCGCGCTTGTGGTCGCATGATACAGCATTCGTACCATGGCACCGTGAAGGAGAAGGACGTCTTCTCCATCGTGGAAGTTTGTCCTTGATGCAGGAATGAATTGTGCGTCTTTGGGTAGTGCACTCAGCCATGATTCCAACCGCTGACTGCATCGTGCCAACTCCGATTCTGACGCCTGTCGAGGGATTAGGCTGATGGTAGTTCGTGTTGTCACGCCAAACTGACACTGTGATGGGGTGTACTGAGCGAACAAAACCCGTCCGATGCACTGACACAGTTTGGCCTTTTCGATGAACATGGTTGCCAGACGCTTCTGGTGAGTAACATCTTCCAGCTGACGACAGCGGAACATCTCAATCACGCTAGGGTGGAACGGCTCGAAGTCAAAGTCTTCCAGCTTCAACATGGGGACATTGCTTGTCCCTTCGTTCACCTGGGTCGGGCGTCTTAGCCCCATCGCAATGAGACGGTCTCGCGAGTACAAGCTCCACCAGATCCGGGTCCTCAGCCTCTTAATCCTCGGGTCCATATCGGTCGATGAGGAAGGGTCTCTATTTAATCCGATCGAATGTGCATGTATATTGCAGACACCAATCCAGTCCCAGATATCTCTTTGCGGATTATTTTGATGGTCAGACCAATAAGTCATAAGTAGTAGAGTCTGCAGTATGACTATACGATCATCTTCGCAGTCAAGTGAATAGAGGAGCTATATTGACCAGTTAGCTAAAGACACGGATGAACTATCAAGCGAGACATACCCTTAATCGCGTAAAGAAAACATTACGGGCAATTTTCCGAGTGGCATACCCAGCGGCCTGCAAATGATGCAGATCGATGAAGGCTGTCGCCACGAACATTACTGCTTGAAACAGAAGGAGACTAATATTACCATTGGGGTCATTTTCCGCGACGCATCGGAGGAATTCCTGTAGATTCAAGACCGGCATGAAGCTATGCACCCATTTGATATAGCATCGCAGTAGCTCATTCCGCAGACCGCTCTCTGGGATCGACAAAGCCTCCCGAAATCGCAAAAATTCTAGATCTTCCGGTGGTATGCGAGACGGGAGAGGCTTTAAGAAGCGCGGTTCATCGTCAAGAAGAGCAATAAGAGGGTCGAAATCAGGATCAATGAGATCCCGCACAGTCGAGACCATGTTCTCTAGTGGCAGCGAAGTCCGTACCCCACGATCTCCCAGAGTCCGCCAGCTCCGAGAAGGTCTGGAGTCTTGCAACCACGGCGCATGAGCATTGTGGCTCAGGCTGTTACTTCTCTTCGCCACGGGTCTATCATCACCCAAGTCCGCACTTGACGGCTTGCGCTTGGCGGTCAACATGCTAGTAAAAAAGCAAAGCCAACGGCATTTGCAGCTGTGCAGGAGATCACATTCAGCATGAGAGGATCGGGAAGTTAGCAGTTGCCTATCGTTGCCGCGTCTGCCGTCCGGGGTTGGTTGGTAATAGACAGCCATGGACTGTCTCCCCCCAGCACTAAAGAAGGCGGTGTTCGGGACCCGGCCGGATGTGGGGACTTTTGCGGGCTTCCCCGCCAATTTGATATGAGAAATGTAGCCGCTTAAATAAGCGCTGTTATAGCAGAGAGTTTATTCGCTGATACGCTGGATTGTTGGGTACTTTTGAGTGGAGCGATGTTGAATGGAAGGTATTCGCTGTCCAGAAGTTCTTCTTAGCGTCGCGGCCTTCACAGTGTTATCTTGATGCCTCAGGCATATGACCGATCACTGCATCCAACAGGGCGACTATAAGGCTTGGCATTGCCATTTCATAGCATTGCATTCTGCACAACAGAGGAGCTCACCTCACCGGCAAATGATTGCTGATCAGCCCATCAATTGATATACTTGGCTTAAGACTACATTTTGGTTCGACTCCTACTACGAGAATGTCCTTCATTCAAAAGCCATAACCACACACTGGAACCACCGCTACTAACTGTTCAATCGACGCTCATGGCCCGATTCACAGATGTGACCATCTACAGAGGGCCCTCAGTTACCTGACCAGCGATGAGATATGAAGAGATAAGACAACTACAGAGCAGAAGCCCTGTAAAGCATATGCAATTATGCGGAGGAGAGACCGGGAAATGTTCCGGAGATCATATCTATTCCAACGCCACATAATGTTGATCCTTCACGGACCCGGATGACAAGCCTAGCCACATAACGTTGAAGCCCATATATGCCCATGAAGCACACAGTATAATACACGTATTCATTAGAATCGAATTCAGAGGAAGAAGTAGGAAAAAGTTGTTCGCGTGTTGTGATCGTCGTCGGCAACCTTTCGAGACAGCCGGCAATTTCATATCACAGGGACATGCGGACGAACGTGCGAAGATCCGTTTACATACTTCTTCCGTCAGTAACTGGTTTTCAGTTGTCGAGATTTATCGCAGTGACTGCGATGGATGGGATCGAGTCTCGACTTACGGAGGAAGGAGGAGCTCGCTGAGGCTGCTGTAGAGGAAAGCGACGCCGGCCTGAAGAGAAATACGTATTAGATGATTCTTCACATTGTACAGCCTGTACAGATCTCGCCAGAATTATATATAACTTACGCCGAAGACCAGAACGCTTCTCACAATGGTAGCATTCTCGGGGTGGGTGACTTCGTCATAGGCAGTGCTGAAGAAGCTCTTCTGCTGACGGCCAGAGACGACGCGCTGTCTGGGAACCATTTTGTAGATGTATTAAAGATGTAGGATAGGTGATGTCCTTGAGATGAAAAGGTGTATTGACAGCGAGAATGACGATGGTCGATGGCAGGGTGAGGCCGGGAATGATGAGAACTCCGAGAAATCTTTCGGTCCTTGGCGGCTGCACTTTTAGCTTATCGCGGTTCCCGTATGTTCTTCGGACCTGCTGCGCGACCAGTTGATCGAAAAGAAGTCCGCAAGAAGGGATCTATAACAATCAATTCATAGGCGATACTTTCTTTTGCAGAGTCGCCTCTCTCTGCTCTATTGGCCCTTATTCAGATCCGTGTTGGTGGTTGGGTCTGAAGTGCTTTTCCGCTCTGCCTCTCCAGCTGCGCAAGCCGCAACCATGACGAGCATCGATGAGCTCTTCAAGGTAAGTTATCTATAAAGTGACTTGTTATAATAGCGCTGACAATCTAGAAACCCTCCTCGGCAGCAAGTGCCAAGCGCAAACTAGATTCCGCGAAAGACCCGAGTGCGTTTATATCCTTTGCGTCCAACTTGACAGCGGCTGACTTGCGACCAAGACGAGCTCTACAAAGCTGCTAAACTAGATGCGGATGGTGATGTGAAATCAAAAGGAAAGGCGCCCATGGTAGAGGATGAAGGCGAGGAGGATGACGGCTACGCGGGTCCTGAACTACCCCCCGATTTCGACGCCGAGGATATCCCAGATGACGAAGAAGGACGCTTCTTCGGCGGCGGCATGGAGCGCCAAACGGCGGAGGCTATGCAATATATCGATCAACACGAGGAAGCAGATGTTGCGGTAAGGGATGAATTCGCTGTACTCCGTGGGCTCGTTTGCTGAGAAGCTATAGCCGGAGAAGTTTGACGTTACCTGGTTGCGACGCTTCGCCCTCAACTTCGAAAAGAAGATCTCGAAGAACGCCGAATTGCGCGGAAAGTTTGAAAATGATCCTCAAAAGTACGTGTTGGCAAGGCATATCCTGGTATTGAACCATTATGCTGATATACCTAGATTCATGGCCTCGGAAGCAGATCTCGATACTGAAATCAAGAGCCTCTCCATCCTCTCCGAGAATTCATATCTATATAGCGAATTTGCGAAGCTGGGCTGTGTAGGCTCGCTTATGTCGCTGCTCTCCCACGAGAACGCCGACATTGCAATTGATGTAATTCAAATCATTGGCGAGTTGACGGATGAAGATGTGGAGGCCGAACAAGAACAATGGGACAGTTTGGTGAACGCAATGGTATGGTTTCTTCCTAGCTCTGCTTGAACGAATCCTTACTAGTCTAGTTGGATGCCGAACTTATCGAGCTCTTGGCGCAAAATCTTTCGCGACTTGACGAAGGATCCGAGGTCGACAGAGCAGGCGTGTACTACGTACTAAGTGAGTTATCCCGGATAAGGCACGCGACAGGTATACTGATTACATTCAAGACGTCTTGGAAAACATCGCTTCACAAACGTCTATCGCAGAGAAAATAGGGCAAGACCCCAACCTGTTACCCTGGCTTATCGCTCGTATACAGAAGAAGGAAAGGCCAGTGACTCAAAACCAGCAATATGCAGCAGAAATACTTGCCATTCTACTGCAATCAACTCCCAAGAACAGGGAGAAGGTCGTCAGCCTGGATGGCGTTGAAATTCTCCTGCAATTGCTTAGTGCATACCGCAAGCGTGATCCCGAAAAAGATTCCGACGAAGAGGAATATGTGGAGAACTTGTTTGGCAGCTTGAACTACCTTGTGAACGAGGATTACGGCAAGGAAAAGTTCCTGGAAGCTGAAGGTGTTGAGCTTGCGCAGATCATGCTGAAGGAGGGCAAGTTCAGCAAGCAACGGGCTTTACGACTCCTAGACCATGCCCTAGGAGGCATGGCAGGCGCTCCTGCATGTGAACGCTTTGTTGAAGCAGCATGCTTGAGTACAGTATTTGGCATGTTCAAAGGGAAGGTATGTGTCACCGATATCATAGAATATGGGCTAGAGCTAAACCCCTATAGCAAGACAATGAAACGACGGAGCACCTGCTGGGCATTTTCGCTTCGCTGCTGCGCTTACTTCCGGGCGGTTCCGCACCACGGATTCGTACACTAGCCAAGTTTATGGAGAAGGACTATGAGAAGATCGAAAAGCTCATCAAGTTGCGCCGGGATTACGCCCAACGAGTGACACCGGTCGAGCAAGCTATTGAGAAAGAACGAAAGAACTTCAAGGAAGAGGAACAAGAGATTATGGCGGCCGAGTGGCTGTCCAGGCGATTCGATGCCGGTCTATTTTCTTTACAGGTTTGCTCCCCGGAATAACCGTTGCTGCAATACGAACTAACAGTACCCAAAGCTTATTGATGTCATTTTGGCCTGGTTGGTGGCCGAAGATGACGGGGCGAAAAAGAAGATTGTGTCCCTTCTGGCTGACCGCGACGAAGATTTGTCACTGATTCGACGAACCTTACAGGGTAAGCTCCGGGACCTACGCATTCTATACTTTCTGGATCCTATGCTAATTGAATGAACAGAGCAAATGGAAGGGCTCTCTGAGGATGAGCCCGGCGAGAAGGATAGTAAAGAGATGCTGGAGACGCTTCTACAGTTCCTGTAATCATTATTTGTAATAACATTTCGCATACAATACTCCGCCGACTTCCGTCATTGATCCCTTTCGTAAACGCTTTCAGTAGTAGTTAATAATGTGAGTAAAAAGTGAAGTATTACCAGCAGCGTGAATTGCTATACGCATCACGTGATCTACCAATCAGGACTAGCTCACAGCTTAGCGCCAGAAGGCGGTCGAGGCTAGTGGCGGCTCTTTCCAAGGCAAGATCCATCAGCGCCCGGAGAGAGTCGAAGCACCCCAGCTGCTCCCTTCACCAGCATCACCGGTGGCCTGGGATCTCTCTTTCTTCCATCCATTTGAGGCTTCCGGCTTATTGGCCTCACTTGTTACATTTAGGACGATTGCTTCGCTGCATTCTACTTACGCCAGTCGTCCCACAACCTCGAGTGGGATCTTTTCCGCCGAGCGCGTCGCGCCCTTTGCGCTCATTGTCCTATCGACTGCGGTTTTTCATTGCGTTTACGACCCATATCCGCCAAGATGGCCGACTACGAAGATGCTTACGAGGATGAGTACTACGACGATATGGACGAGGGCATCACCTCGGAGGATTGCTGGACGGTCATTTCGTCTTTCTTCGACACCAAGGGTCTAGTGTCACAACAGCTGGACTCTTTCGATGAATTTATCTCCTCGACAATGCAGGAGCTGGTGGAGGAACAAGGCCAAGTAACACTCGACCAAACTCTCCCTCCCTCCGAAGATGAAGTCGATCCCGTTGTTGTCCGCCGATACGAGCTGAAGTTTGGAACCGTCATGCTCTCACGACCATCTGTGACTGAGGGTGATGGTGCGACCACTATCATGTTGCCCCAGGAGGCTCGCCTGCGTAATCTTACATACGCTAGTCCCCTTTATCTCGGTGTTACGAAGAAGATTATGGAAGGTCGTGAACGTCTGGTCGCGGACCGAGATGAAGATGATATGGGTGAATCGAATGAGGATAGAAAAGCTCACGGAACTTACCTGCAGTGGGAGCAGAAGGAGCTGCCTGCTGACCAGGCGAAGGAGGAGACCGTTTTTATTGGAAAGATGCCAATCATGCTCAAGTCCAAGTACTGTATCCTCAAGGATTTGAGCGAGCAAGCTCTTTACAACTGGAACGAGTGTCCTTACGACTCTGGTGGTTATTTCATTATCAACGGAAGTGAAAAGGTGTTGATCGCCCAAGAGCGCAGTGCTGGAAACACGGTTCAAGTCTTCAAGAAGGCACCGCCTAGTCCCACGCCCTATGTTGCGGAAATTCGGAGTGCTGTCGAGAAGGGATCACGACTTCTTTCTCAGTTGTCCCTGAAGCTGTTTGCCAAGGGTGACAGTGCCAAGGGTGGATTTGGTCCTACAATTCGGTCGACCTTGCCTTATGTGAAGACCGACATTCCCATCGTCGTTGTTTTCAGAGCCCTCGGTGTGGTTTCTGATGAAGATATTCTGAACCACATTTGCTACGACCGGAATGACACACCGATGCTGGAGATGCTGAAGCCTTGTATTGAGGAGGGTTTCGTTATCCAGGACCGTGAGGTGGCGCTGGATTTCATTGCCAAGCGTGGTTCTTCTCAGTCTAGTATGAACCACGAGCGTCGTGTCAGATATGCCCGCGAAATCATGCAAAAGGAGTTCCTTCCTCACATTTCTCAGAGCGAAGGTAGTGAGACCCGGAAAGCTTTCTTCTTGGGTTACATGGTGCACAGACTGCTGCAGTGTGCCTTGGGCCGTCGTGATGTCGATGATCGTGACCACTTCGGTAAGAAGCGTCTCGACTTGGCTGGTCCTCTTCTTGCAAACCTCTTCCGAGTTCTGTTCACTCGTGTCACCCGTGACCTTCAGCGGTACGTGCAAAGATGCGTGGAGACGAACAGGGAGATCTACTTGAACATTGGTATCAAGGCCAGCACCTTGACGGGAGGTCTGAAGTACGCTCTTGCTACGGGTAACTGGGGAGAGCAGAAGAAGGCGGCCAGCGCCAAGGCTGGTGTATCTCAGGTGCTCAGTCGTTATACCTACGCCTCTACGTTGTCCCACCTTCGTCGTACCAATACACCAATTGGTCGAGACGGTAAGATTGCCAAACCCCGTCAGCTCCACAACACCCATTGGGGTCTGGTTTGTCCAGCCGAAACCCCTGAAGGTCAGGCTTGTGGTCTGGTCAAGAACTTGGCGCTCATGTGCTACATCACTGTTGGTACGCCTAGTGAGCCCATTATTGATTTCATGATTCAACGCAACATGGAAGTCCTCGAAGAATTCGAGCCGCAGGTGACGCCAAATGCGACCAAGGTGTTTGTCAACGGTGTTTGGGTGGGTATCCATAGAGATCCTGCGCATCTGGTGAACACCATGCTCTCTCTCCGTCGCCGGAACATGATCTCGCACGAGGTCAGTTTGATTCGTGATATTCGTGAGCGAGAGTTCAAGATCTTTACCGATGCTGGACGCGTGTGTCGGCCACTGTACGTCGTCGACAATGATCCCAAGAGCGAGAACTGTGGTTCACTGGTGCTCAACAAGGAACACATTCGCAAACTGGAGCAAGACAAGGACTTGCCCCCCGATCTGGACCCAGAAGACCGCAGGGAGCGCTACTTTGGTTGGGATGGTTTGGTGAAGTCTGGTGTCGTTGAGTACGTCGACGCCGAAGAGGAGGAGACAATCATGATTGTGATGACACCAGAGGACCTGGAGATCTCGAAGCAACTTCAGGCCGGTTACGCCCTTCCCGAGGAAGAGCTGCACGATCCCAACAAGCGTGTGCGTTCTATTCTGAGTCAAAAGGCACACACCTGGACACACTGCGAAATTCACCCCAGTATGATCCTGGGTGTTTGCGCCAGTATCATTCCTTTCCCCGATCACAACCAATCTCCTCGTAACACCTACCAGTCTGCCATGGGTAAACAAGCTATGGGTGTGTTCCTGACGAACTTTGACCAGCGCATGGAAACCATGGCCAACATTCTGTATTACCCGCAGAAGCCTCTGGCGACAACACGGTCTATGGAATTCTTGCGGTTCCGTGAACTGCCTGCCGGTCAGAACGCCATTGTTGCCATTGCCTGTTATTCCGGTTACAACCAGGAAGATTCGGTTATTATGAACCAGAGCAGCATTGACCGTGGTCTTTTCCGCAGTCTGTTCTACCGTACATACACGGACAGCGAGAAGATGGTCGGACTGACAGTTGTCGAACGCTTCGAGAAGCCTATGAGATCGGATACGATCGGTATGAGAAAGGGTACCTACGACAAGCTCGATGAAGACGGTATCATTGCTCCTGGTGTCCGTGTATCCGGTGAGGATATCATCATCGGTAAGACGGCACCCTTGGCACCTGAAGCAGAGGAGCTCGGTCAACGTACCAAGGCCCACACCAAGTTGGATGTGTCGACTCCTCTCAGAAGTACGGAGAACGGTATTGTGGACCAGGTCCTGGTGTCTACGAGCAACGATGACCTGAAGTTCGTGAAGGTGCGCATGAGGACGACCAAGATTCCCCAGATTGGAGACAAGTTCGCATCTCGTCACGGACAAAAGGGTACCATCGGTATCACTTACCGTCAGGAAGACATGCCTTTCACTCGGGAGGGTGTGTGCCCTGACTTGATCATCAACCCTCACGCCATTCCCTCCCGTATGACAATCGCGCACTTGATCGAGTGTCAGCTCAGTAAAGTGTCGTCGCTACGTGGGTTCGAGGGTGACGCGACGCCTTTCACCGACGTTACGGTCGACTCGATTTCCCGTCTCCTGCGGGAGCACGGATACCAATCCCGTGGCTTTGAGGTGATGTACAACGGACACACTGGACGCAAGCTGGTGGCGCAGGTCTTCCTGGGACCGACGTACTACCAGCGTCTGCGCCACATGGTCGACGATAAGATTCACGCCCGTGCGCGTGGACCGACTCAGATCTTGACGCGGCAGCCGGTGGAAGGTCGTGCTCGTGACGGTGGTCTCCGATTCGGAGAGATGGAACGCGATTGTATGATTGCGCACGGAGCCAGTGCATTCCTGAAGGAGCGGTTGTTCGACGTGTCCGATCCCTTCCGGGTGCACATCTGCGACGACTGTGGCTTGATGACCCCTGTTGCGTAAGTGGAGAGACATCCTTGATTTTCCTAACAAGATGAGCTAACGATGATGGAACAACAGTAAACTGAAGAAGGGACTCTTCGAGTGTCGACTGTGTAACAACAAGCACCGAATCTCCCAGGTGCATATCCCGTATGCAGCCAAGCTTCTGTTCCAAGAGCTGGCCTCGATGAACATTGCCGCTCGCATGTTTACCAACCGGTCTGGCGTGTCCGTGCGGTGAGGGGGAGGAAAGATGACTATGCGTGTACATCAGATTCTTCTCTTCTGTGGTATCTCTTCCGTCTTCTGGTGTTTCTATGTCTTCCTTTTTCTCTCTCCCTCTCCGTTTCCTTTTCCCCACTGTTTTCTTTCCTAATAATTCTCCACCCCCCAAAACGTGTGATATCAACCGAAGACCAGACCGATTCGGCATTTTCCGGCGTACAGAGGACCAGAGGTTTATGATTTTGATTCGAGCTTCTATATATTGTTATTTTATTTTTTTTTCCTCCCCTCTTTCCTTTTTTTGCTGACCATGGTTGGAGGAATGGCTGGTGTAAGCAGCGATGTACTTGGATGATGATGATTTGTCCCTACGGAATCGAATCGAAATTGGATCTAGAGAAGCAGACGAAGAAGAGGGGTAAAGATGTCATGGCAATTCTGCACGTAAGAGCCGGCCTTGACAGGGTCCTAATTGGGGCAGATGCTGCATGGTGTAATTGTAGTGGAGTGTCAGTGGAGAGGGTGTAGAGTTGTGTAGACTGTAGAGTGGTGTTCTTGCTTCTCTCAGTGGTGGGATCGCGTCCAACCCCCTCCTCAATCCCGTGCACGAACTTTAAAAATCCTCGGTGCTGCAGAATGGAGATGTCGGTGACAGGCCGTCTCCCTTCTTGTGTGAGTGCGATTGGCCAAGGGTGTTTCTATTGATAGGTGGGATGGCTCGGGAGAATGTGCTCGTGGAGGGCGGCAAGGGAAGAAAAGCATGGCAATGGAGATGGAGGGGAGATGGAGGGACGATGGATGGGCGAGTCGTGAGAATGGTTGGCTGTCTGCTGCATGCCCGGCTGCCCTTGAAGCCAATGAGGCCCAGGAATTACCCGCCGGCTGGGATGGCGAGAGGACGAAGCGGGGATTTGACTGGCGAAGAGCTGCTCTCGCTCTTCCCAGAATAGAAGATGGCGGGTGACAATCCCATCACACGCATTGCACTAACTTGGTAGTTGACTATCTACCGGCCTCTCTCGTCTGCTCGTTTCCCTCCCCCCGGCGCTCTCTTAAAAGGCTGCTGTAGCCGCCAGGGCGTTCTCTGCCTTCTCTTCTTTTTTCTTTCTTTCTTCAGCAAGCTTGCTTGTCTGACTGCCCGTGGTTTAGAAGTATCCCCCCTGTGCACTGGCTGCACTGGTTTTTGTTTGTTTGTCTATTCGTCGCTTGTTATACTACATCTTAATCATTCCCCTCACCTTTTTACTATCAATATATCAAAAATTCCCCCACCAATTTCCCCTCAACTCTGCCCCATTCAATACACGAGCTGTGCTCTGTGTGATGCTTGATTGCTTTTATTGCATCTTGTTCGGATACTTCTAAACCATTCAACCTCGTGACGGTTCATTTCGTTGTCGCCGGTCGACTTCTCGTGTTCCTGTCATATCAGCTCAGACGACTTGCTGGCCTTGTCCTTTATTCTTTCCAACAACAACATCTATCTAATATTTCTGGTTGCGTGTCAAGGACCGGATCCTGTCAAGCAAAGCCTCGTTGTTATACATTTGCACAGCCAACCAACCCAACCCAACACAAGGCTAGACGTGAATCGACTCTGGTAGTCTCTTCCATCTTGGCCTTTTTATAACGACGACTTACTTCCCGCCATTGACACGATTGTTTTAAACCATTACGCCTTCATTCTGCTGCATATAATCTAATCCTTAGTATAACCTGGTCAATCTCTCTCAACATGTCTGCTGTTCAGCTCAAGTTCTCGCTGCGCACCTCCTCCAATGTCAAGACCGTCCATCTGGTCGGCTCCTGGGACAACTACTCTCGTCAGATTCCCCTTTCCCGGGATGATGTCAAGCCAGGCGCATGGACTGGCAAGTTCCGCTTCCAGACCTCCATGCTGAAGCTGGGTGGCCGCTACTGGTACTACGTATGTTGACTCGCCCGCTGACTCGAATGACCCGCAAGCTAACCCTGCCGCAGTACATCATGGATGGTTATCATGTCTCTCATGATCCCGCTGTCGAGTACACGGTCAAGCCCACCACCGGCCGCAAGTTGAACATCCTCGATGTTCCCGGTGGCAAGAAGTCTTCCCAGCCCGCCCCCAAGCACCACCGGGGCTCCACAGACTTCGTCAAGGGTCGTGCTCCTTCTCCGTCCAAGATCCACCACCCCAAGCCGTCCAAGCCCTATGCTTCCCGTCAAATCCGGGAGACGGACTTTGCTCCCACCATGGAAGACCTCACCATGCGGTTTGCCGACTCCCGTCTCTCGGACGAGTACTCGCTCTCCAACAGCCCGCCCAGCTCGGTTGGCTCATCCCTGTCGTCTCGCTCATCTGGCAGCACTTCCCCATCTTCCCTGTCGTCCATGAGTGACCCACCCACCCCGATCTGCCACTGCGAGCGCTACGGAATCACTCGCAAGGGCGACCGGGTCAAGCTCGACTGTGGCGGCAGCCGATGCGGCTATGTTACCGAGTCGTCTGAGGCTAGCTGCTCCGAGTCCGACAGTGACGAGGAGTACCGCCGTGCCCGCAGCGGTGTCCGCCGTCAAGGCATTGTGGTGCGCAGGTAAATCATAACAACTTGTTGGTGCTTTTACCCTGCTTTGATCATTTTTGAACACCCCTCATGGGAGTCGCTTCCCGCGTCGAAAGACCGAACACGCCGTGCATTGGATGTCCCTCCTCTTTGCATCAGAGGATAGTCACTCCTTTGGCAGTAACCTGCCGCGCCAATTGAAGTCGCTTAAGCATAAATGCTACGAAAGCAATAAAAAGAGAAAACCAAGAAAAAAAAATTGAACCGGCCATCTGGATCATGGCAATCTGCCATGAAGGAGCCAGATGCGCTACGCGGAGGAGATGAGGTAGTTGAATAGTTGGGAAGGAATATGGGAAAAAGACAAGGACCACTCTATACAAGGCACTGATGGTATAGCCAGGTGGATGAAGGATGAAATGAAATGAGCGACGTCGAGGTCATGTTAGCTACGTTGTTCACATAGGAAACGAATGATGAGTGATGACTTGCCTATCCCTAGCCTGTAGCCAACACATAACCACTATATTGCTTCCTATAATAGCTATCCACTAGTAGTATGTAGTCATAGTGGGATGCTCGGCAGCAATAGCCGGTAGAGAACTTCACCTCGTGGATGAAATCCGTCGGGAAGTCCAAGCTTTCCCCCGCAATCGGATATCCCGAGCACCGAGACCTACTTTAAAATCTGGGGCAGTCCTCTAGCTACATCTCTTGTCTCATACAACAATTAAACCATCACAATCTATATATACGAACAATAAAGACCGCCACCATGCCCCCACCCCCCCTCACCGTGCAATACAAAGAAGCCAACGGCAGTAAAATCACCACCGACATCTACCTCCCACCGGCACCCACCACAGTTAGTGAAAATGACACGCCAAAGAAATATCCCGTTTGTACGTCTATCCCTCCACTACAATATATATCAAGTACTGAAATTTTTCACAGTAATCAACATCCATGGCGGCGTCTTCATGCTCGGCCACTCACGCATGGTCTCCATGCCCCAAGTCGACGACTGCCTCGCCCGGAACTGGATCGTTGTGGTACCCAACCATCGTCTCTGTCCGCAGGTGAATATGCTCGAGGGGCCCATCACTGACATCCGCGACCTGTTGGCGTGGATCTACGATGGACAATTAGATGCGTTCCTTGCCGGCGCAGGTGCAGATGCAGCGCGCTATCGTGTCGATATGGATCGGGTTATGGCGTTTGGGACGTCATCGGGGGGTACATTAGCATTGTCATTGGTGAGTTTTCTCCTTCCCTTATCCTACTATACACACATCCAGAAATGCTAATAATCTATATCAGGGCTACTCCGTCCCCCGCCCTGTCGCTGCAATCCTCGACTTCTACGGCGCCGTACACTTCACCCATCCCTTCTGGACCCAACCTCTCCCTGACGTCCAACGCACCCTGCCCGCGCTGGACCCTGCATTCTTGCAGAAGATCTATGATGAATATCCCGTCCCTACGGACAGTTCTATCTCGCTGGAGGGCCAGACAGAGCTTTCTGGCGGTAGCAAGGCCAAGGGCCCGGATTTCTCCCGCCCCCGGGATGCATTCGCCCTGACGCAGGTGGCTAATGGGACGGTCTTGCAGGCTTGTTATCCTGATAGGGATGTGAGGGAGATCGATCCGGTGGTGCATGTGGCCAAGGGGTTTCCGCCGACGTTTATTGTGCATGGGGATTGTGATACGAAGGTTAGTATTGAGGTTAGTCGGGAGTTGTGGAGGGTGTTGAGGGAGAATGGGGTCGAGTGTGGGATGGTGGAGGTGCCCGGGGAGGATCATACGTTTGCGATGGGAATGCAGGTTGGGGGGAGGACGTGGGAGTTGCAGAGGGAGGGGTTTGAGTTTTTGGAGAGGGTTATTTCACGATAGTTAGGGGATGAAATGGTGAGTTTATTGTAATTAATTATGGTGGTGGTGGTGGTGGTGGTGGTAGGGGTTCATATAGATTTCCCATAAGAGTAAGAATTGAGACTAGTTCTTTTCCAATTAAGTCTTTTATAGCCGATTTGGTAGTTGGACAATCTCGGGGATTGTCCGAGGTTTGTTGCAGAGATTAGAGAGTAGGAGGATGTCTATCAACGCCGGATAATGATAAGCCAGGCTGCAACGTATGCAATACCCTGGGATGACCGGTGTCCGCGGGATCCAGACACTCTAGGCTGATGCCAATCTTAGGCAAGCATTTTAAATCCTCTCGTTAATGGCTAGTATGGTTCTTCAGCTGGTTTCAGGATATAGATAGCAGTAAGAGCAGTCTAGTCATATTTTAGTCCAAGTCTAATTCTATACACGTGGTCGTCGGCCTCGAGTAAATTGATGTGGATAGTCATATCGAGACCTAATGAGCTTACAGTAAAAGCTTGACTGTAGACGTGGATAGATTCATCAATCCATTTGTCATGATATTCTAACAGCTGCCTTTTCATTGGAAGTATTCCGAAATTTCCGACATTCCGAACAAGACAAACCCTGGAATCAATGAAGAAGAAGTTTGATCACTTTCTTGACTGGGAAAGTCGAAGGGGAATTGACTGGATGGTTGCCTGACGCGTCTGACTCAGGCCTCCACCACGGTGGATCTTTTGGTTAAGCCCTACTTTCCTAATCTGGACAAGTCACGGGGATTACTATTTTGGGGCAACGAGTCAACCAGTCAACCATCGCAACTGTGCTCGGGCCCCAAGCAACGAACAAGATGCCCACTTTTCCCCCCTCCATCGTCCGCGGTTGACTCGCTTCTCCTCCGTCCGGGCGTCTGTCCAGCTCATCCCAGTTTCAGCCCTACGGTGCCAGGGGCCAGTCCATCCTGGCTTTGAGTGGTTCATCCAAACCGGCCACTCCGTCCCCCGTTGCTTCTCAGCCTCAGCCTTCCTCCAATCCCCTCTTCCATCTCGGACAACTAACCACCTTCATCCACACTATGCTGGGCTAATTTCCTGGCTAAGGAATTTCCCTCAAATCACCGGCCGGGTCCCGCTGCAGCCTTACGGCTCCCAAGGTCCTCCCCGGAGAACCGCACCGACACTGAACTCGCTCCAGCGGCCCACGGCACGGAGAAGCAATTTCCAATAGCGAATCCTCTATAGCGGACCCAGCTGGATTTGCTTCCCCTCTTCCCTTTCTGCTACAGCCTCTACACGGGGCCAGCTCACCAATAATGTCCACCTGACTGGTCTTCTGCAGTCTGCATCCTCTGACTCCCATGCCTTTCAGGGGTCCCGGGGAGCCTTTAACGGCGCCCTTCTAGTGGGTAAACGGTGCCCGGCAACCCCTCAGAAAAGCAGGGAAAGCGTCGGAATCAGCTGTCATGGATGGGCGTGGCCTAGTTCTGCACTACTCGGCCTTCAGCCCGACAAGCGTCCCCCACTGATCGACTCCGGTTTGCCCTACGAGTATTGCGAAATCCGAAATAGACCAATCTGCTATGGGTTGACGTTTGCCCGGCAGGATGGGTCCTCCTCATTTCCCTCTTTTTTCCTATTCCCTCTTTTCTTTTTCCCCTCCATTCTCTCCTCTTCCTTGATTGTCTACATTTTTGCTTTCTCGGTGGCCCTTTCCGTCTCGCTCTCGCTTTCTCTCTCTTCCCTTCTCTTCCCCCTTTCCCCTTTCTCCCTCTTTACTCTTCCTTGTCGCTAGTCCTGTTCGTGATGGACCGAGTTCTTCCAGATTGTTCCCGAGCATAGAATTAAGGGTTCCTTTGGATTTCTTTTATGGATGCCTTGCATCGACCGTCTGCAGTCGCATTCAGCATCAAGGCGCCTTAGAATGACAAGCTCGCCAGTTCTAGTTCCTTGGTATTGTCGTCACTTGGAACTTGGTTTCTATCATGGTCCTGGGTCGCCTGAATGGTCGGTGTTTTTATAATTGATTCCATCCGCGATCCACTCCCCACCTCCATCGCACTCAACACTTTACGCCTCGACCCTTCAGTCATTCCTTGACCACCACCCTCAGACCTGTCTCATTACCACGCGGGACGTTTGATCTTTTCAATTTGTGTCTTTTTCCTTTCTTTTTATCTACCACCGAGACCAATCTCATCGGTCGACCACTACCACGACCACCACCTCATCATGTGTTATCTATTGGTGGAGCGATTTTCGGTGTGCAGATGTCTTTACTTTCAGCACGCGGTAGACCCGTGTGAAGCATACGGCCAGCGTGGCCATGTGGTGCAGGAAAAAATCGTCCTGGTCGGCTACACCTGTTCCCGACACTCATTGAGATGCAACGGAAACAACGCTCGAGACCCAACCCTGCCGGATTCAGGATACTCCAGCATCAAGGGTTAAACCCATCCACTCTGGGATAGCAAGAGGCAGCAGTCGCGGGACGTCTGCCTCAACCGTCGTTCGATTTTATTCCTGTTTGATGCATGCTCAGTTCGATTCGATTTTGGCCTGGCCGGTTCGCCAAAACTCTTGCTAGATATATGCTTTTGTTATTGTCAACGCTGTGGGGCTGCGCTCTCGTCACCGTTTTCTTTATAATGCTGTGTGTGCGCGTGTTCAGTCAGCCTGTTCTGCATAGCGTTGCGTTGTGTTGCGTCGCGTCGCAGAATCCCCAGTCACGATGAGACGAGAAACGTGCGACGATCGACTGGATGGAGAGTTTTGTCTTGTTAAACTATGGTAATAGAGGAGGATTTGATTGAGAAAAATGGGGGTCGTATCCGGGATACGCCAGTTGGGGGATACCAACATCTGTCTATGCATTATCTAGCTGGCCTACCTACATTCTTTATCATTAATCATCTACTTTTACAGTCATATGGCTATGTACTTGTGTATGGAATATGATCTGCCAATAGGAAGATTCTTCTATTAGATGAGAGCTAAAGTTAAGCCATGCTAAATGACTTGTCCATTCATACTACAGATCCCAAGAATCAAAATTGCGGTGACCAAGCGGATAAATTAGTTTTCGCGTACCCTACCAAGTCTCCACAGTCTATCTATTCATAGAACCAATGTCAGCAAGATGGGATCTGTACGGTAAGTAGGAGGCTCAATAGCCCCTAACGATAACTACCTACCTACTAGAACATGTCATCATGTATCCACAGCGGAAAGCAACAACACTTTCCAAAACCAGCATGAATGCTAATACCATAGTAGATCTCGCGTATGAGCATTCAAATGCCTCCCCCACCTGGGCTTAATTGAATTGATACTGATTGTAGATAAGCATGCTTAGAGACATAATGCAATTTAAGTCGAGTAGTAACTGAAGAACAGCACGG